GGCCTAGACCTGGCTTGTCTGCCCCCCCCTCTCCCTGTCTGCCCCCCCTCTCCCCCAATCCTCCTCATCCTTCTCCTCCTCCTGCTGCCCCTCCTCCTCCTCCTCCTCCTCCTCCTCCTCCTCCTCCTCCTCCTCCTCCTCCTCCTCCTCCTCTCTCCACCTCCACCTCCACATCCTCCTCCTCCTCCTCCTCCTCCTCCTCCTCCTCCTCCTCGCGCCCTCACCCTGCCTTCCTCGCGTCGTGGGAGTGCGCACGACGGACGTTTTGCTCGGCTGTTAACCTTTGGCCTCCGGGGGGCCCCCCGGTCGGGCCTCGGGGCTCGTCGGAAGAGGGGGCCCGGCGAGGGCGCCCCGGTCGGGAGTTCTGGAGGCCCCGTAGGAAAGTTCTCTCCGAGCGGAGGGCCCAGCCATGCAGTCAAGACTCGAGCAGTGGCGAAGCGTCTGGGCTCGCCTGTAGCCCCACCAGGCAATGTTCCAAGAGCCTTTTGTGGCTCCCACGAAATGTTCTCAGACCGTTTCTGGCGGGGTCTGTCTTGCTTGCCTTCACACATCGGGTTTATGTTCCAAGAACATTGTGCTTGTTCTTAACACATGTTTGGGTTCTAAGAACATTTCGTGGTATGACTATAGGAGTGCTGGGACGGTCGGTCCCTGCTCCAAAGACGCTGGGGTCCGCTTGTGATCGGTGTTTTATTCGTTGTTTTGCCGATCGGCGTGGGCCGTTTTGCCGATCGGCGTGGGCCCTCGCATCCCCCCCTCTCCCCTCCTGGAGCAGATCTTGGCTGTTTTTGGCGACTGTTTCGAACAGGTGTTTCCTCCCCCATGATGGACGCACTGCTGCAAACAGACGCAGTAGACCCCCCCCCCCTTCCGCCCAATGTCGAAACGCCAAATTATACAAAGAAGCGCTCACCTTTGGGTTCAGAAGGGGCTCGATGCTGCTTGGAACCTGCCACGTCTGATCCTCCAGCCTCCCTTGTGCGGGCAGGCGCCTCTGGGGGCCAGAGAGGGGGCTCCGTTCCCTGCTGGGGGCGCCTTCTTCCAGCAGCCCGACCGTGCGCACTCGCGAGTCTCGCGGCGGAGGTGAGACGAAGGAGGAGGAAGAGGAGGAGGAGGAGGAGGAAGAAAGGAGGAGGAGGAGGAGGAAGGAAAGAGGAGGAGGAGGAGGAGGAGGAGGAGGAGGAGGAGGAGGAGGAGGAGGAGGGCAGGGGCGAGCGGCAGGCCTCCGTGGCTTCGCGCGAGCCCTGGAAACCCCGCCCTCGCGTGCCCGCGCGGGTAGGTGCCAACGGGGGTCGGCCAGGGCGCCCGATCCTGCAGGATCCTGCAGGGCCAGGGCCGCGTCGGCCCGGGCTTGGGTGCAGGATGCTGCAGGATCCTTCGCGTTGACTTATGTCGGGCGTGTCCCCCTACAGGGGGACCTTCGACGAAAAATAAGCATTACCCCAAACATAGCCAATCAATAGTCCACAAATAGTCTGGGGACTATTTTGAGTATTTGTTGTCCTGTCTGGAGTTTTTTGGGGGTATCTTTTATGTTTCGTCGAAAATCCCCCTGTAGGGGGACACGCCCGACATCAGCGTGGGCCCAGATTGGGGTGCAGGATCCTGCAGGAGCCTGCGAGGCCTTTTCTGGCCCGGGTCCGGAGATGGACCTATGGGCCGGAAGAGATCCCCCGACCCGTCTCCCCGCCGGTTCCGCCTCCCCTCGGCCTGTTTCCCTGGTGCGCGGCGCTCTCCTGCCGCCCGCCCCGCGAGGGCCCGCCGAGGGCGCCGGGCGCCGCCGCGTGTTGTGTGCAATCCCTCTCTCTGCCTCGGTCTGCGGGGGGCCACAGGCGAGCCCTACCCTTACGTCGGGCGTGTCCCCCTACAGGGGGATTTTCGACGAAAAATAGAACATACCCCCACAAATTCATCGAAAGATAGTCCAAAAATAGTCCGAGGAGTATTTTTTTATACAATTTTTTGACCATTTTGGAATATTTTTGGAGTGTTTTTTATTTTTCGTCGAAAATCCCCCTGTAGGGGGACACGCCCGACTTAACCCTACCCCTGCCCCCCACGATTTCTGAGGCGGGCGGGGTTCACCTCGCTCGGGAGCACGAGTTCTGGGGGGGAGGGCGGGGCTCACTTCGCTCGGGAGCTCCCGAGCGACGCGAATCCCCCCCTCCTCAGAAATCGTGGGGGGTAAGGGGAGGGCTCCCTGGGCAGAGCGCTGCGCGGAGCCCGCGCGACGCGCGCCGGTCGCGCGGAAGGAGTCCCAGGTGCGACGCGCGCGGGTCGCGTGCGCGGCACGGAGCAACGCCGCACATGGCGGTCGACAGCGGGCGAAGCGTTGGGCAGGCCGCGGGGGAGGCCGGCGCCTCGCCGGAGGCAGAGCGCAGGGGAGTCCCCGCGACGGGCGTTGGTCGCTCCTGGAGGATTCCAGCGACGCGCGCGGGTCGTCCGCGGCGCGAGGCCAGACTCGAGCAGTGGCGAAGCGTCCCGGCTCGCCTATAGCCCCACCAAACAATGTTCTAAGAACCTTTCGTGGTTCCCACGAAATGTTCTTAGACCGTTTCTGGCTGGGCCTGTCTTGCTTTAACGCATCGGGTTTATGTTCTAAGAACATTGTTTTTGTTCTTAGAACATTTTTGGGTTCTGAGAACATTTCGTTGTATGACTAGGAATGCCTGGACGGCCGGTCCCTGTTCAACAGACGTTTGGACCGTCGACAGAAAGCGAGGCTCGGGTGGGCAGCGATGCAGCCGCGAAGCGTGTGAAGGGTGTTTCAAGATGGACATGCGGCGTTCGGGGAATTGCACGTGGATCCTGTCCTCGTGGCCTTCCGTGGCGCTCCCCAATGTATCTCCTCAGTTGACAGGGGGGAAACGTAGTGGAGGTTGTCACGGCGGCGAAGAACAACGCTCGGGCCAGAATGTCGCCCCGGCGAAGAATACGACGCCCAAGGGCCGGCAGCAAATATGCAGCAGCTTAGGGCCGCTGCTGATGGTGGTAGTGGTGATGATGATGATGATGCTGTTGATGGTGAACACGATGGGGTTATGTTGATTGATGGCGATGCCATGAACATGACTGTACTGGGCTTGGGTTGGGCACGATTTTGACAATGGTGATGGTGATGATGGAGATGATGGCTATGAGGATGGTGGCAATGATGGACATGAGGAGGGCGACGAGGACGGTGACTCGAGGACGCCCATGAATGGGAAGTACCATGGGGCCTGCAAAAATCACCCCAGTCCTCAATGACAAGGATTCTGATTTATACTTATTCATGGACGTGCTGGGCCCGAGTGCGCCTGTGGCAGGATGTACAGCGTACGAATGCACACACCAAACGCATATTCCATGCACGCCACTGACATGTACATGCAACCGCACGTGGGACGCGACCGCAATACCGTTCAAACCATTTTCGCAAAACGTAGCGCACGCGTGCGGGTCAAAACGTGACGTTTCCCCACGGGCGAACATAAACAAACGCGGGGCACGTGCAATGCGCGAGTGCGGTTGCTACATAATGAACGAACACGGATATAATGCACATAACAATATCCATCAAACGTGAGAACAATTTTTATTCATAAGCGCCAACGACATTTGAGCCGTGATGTCGCGAGGGCGGCGACACATATTCATCGGAGCTTAGTGCCCGCGAAGATTTTGCTGGGGCCCAAAAGTGCGCGCAATGAAAATAACACCACCTATGTGGATGAAGTGGTATGGAGTCAGGGGCCACGCAGCGCGTGAGGGAGTGTGCCGAAATCGACATGCGTTGGGCGGGGAACCGTATGTGGACCCTGCCACTGGGGCCTCGGGTGGAGCTCCCTATGGGACCACGCGACGTGTGAAGGGTGTGCCAGATTGGTCATGCGGTGGGCGGTGAAAATGTGTGGGCCTTTCTATTGGGGCCTTGAATGGAGCTACCTATGGGGCCACGAAGCTTGTGAGGGGTGTGCCGAAATCGGCATGTGGTGGGCGGGGATCCGCATGTGCACTTTGCCGTTGGAGCCGTCTGTGGAGCTCCTTCTGGGGACACTACACGTTTGAGGGGTGTGCCGAATTGGATTTGCGGTGTGCGGGGAACCGCATGTGAACCCTGCCATTGGGGTCTGGGGTGGAGCTCAACATTGGGCCACGAAACGTGTGAGGGGTGTGCCGAACTGGATTGGGCGGGGGACCGCAAGTGGATTTTGCCGTCGGGGCCTTTCGGCGGAACGCCCTATCGGTCCACGAAGCTCTGTAGCGCTTGTTCCGGAATGAGTGACGTGTGGGGAGGGGTGGCAAAGGCATGGATGGGAACAGGGGGGACGAGTAAGGAGTGAGGGAGTGAAAGTTTCGCGCTGCCGCTCCAAACCGAGGACCCAACACCGCAGGATGGCTGGGACAAGCTCGGACTTCGGGCCTTTGGGTCTCCCCCTCTCGCCCTGCACTGCTTGTCCCTGCGCCGTTGCCTGTGCGCGGGCGTTGGCAGAAGCTCCGCGCCCCGAGCGCGAGTTCCAGAGGGGGCCGCCGCGCGGAGGAGGAGGAGGAGGAGGAGGAGGAGGAGGAGGAGGAGGAGGAGGAGGAGGAGGAGGAGGAGGAGGAGGAGGAGGAGGAGGAGGAGGAGAGGAGGAGGAGGAGGAGGAGGGAGGAGGAGGAGGAGGAGGAGGAGGAGGAGGAGGAGGAGGAGGAGGAGGAGGAGGAGGAGGAGGAGGAGGAGGAGGAGGAAGAGGAGGAGGAGGAGGAGGAGGAGGAGGAGGAGGAGGAGGAGGAGGAGGAGGAGGAGAGGAGGGGAGGGGGAGGAGGAGGAGGAGGAGGAGGAGGAGGAGGAGGAGGAGGAGGAGGAGGAGGAGGAGGAGGAGGAGGAGGAGGAGGAGGAGGAGGAGAGGAGGAAGGGAGGGGGAGGAGGGAGGAGGAGGAGGAGGAGGAGGAGGAGGAGGAGGAGGATGAGGAGGAGGAGGAGGAGGAGGAGGAGGGCCCTGGAGGCCAGGGGAGGCAGCCGCTGGCCCCCCGCGCAGGAGGCTAGAGCTGAGGACGCTGGAGGAGGCGATGCGCGGGGACGTGTCCAGGCCGATGCCGAGGCCCGTCCTGTTCGCGGAGGACTACGAGAACTACCACGAGGGCAAGTACGTCAAGGACGACTGCCCGATCGCGTGACGTGCGCTGCCTGAGCGCTCGTCACGCGCGCACGCGCGCGTGCGACTCGCGCGCCGGCGCGGGCGGAGCGGGCGGGGCCCGAATGATGGCCGCGGAGGGGCCGCCCCGTCCGTTGCTCGCTCCGGCCACGCTTGGAGCTCAGGGGCGGGCCCAGGAAGGCATGGCTAGCCCGCGGCGGGGGCGACGCCTGTGGAGGAGGGACGGAGGGAGGGAGGAAGGGGAGGGAGGGATCAGATGAAGAATTAAGAGGACCAGTGGAGGAAGAATAGGAGCAGACGGAGGAGGAGGAGGAGGAGCAGGAGGAGGAGCAGGAGGAGGAGCTATAGGAGCAGGAGGAGGAGGGAGGGAGGGAGGGAGGGAGAGGGAAGGAGGAGGAGGAGGAGGGAGCACGAGCAGGACCAGGACCAGGAGCAGGAGGAGGAGGAGGAGGAGCAGGAGGAGGAGGAGGACCAGAGTACACCCAGGATGCGTCAACGATGCTGCAACACGCCCCCTGTCCCACGTCCCGGCGTTCTTGTGCACCACGGGCGGCGCCCCCTGGCCCGACGAGCGCTCCGTGGGCCTGCCATGCAAGCGAGAGCCCCGTTCTGAAAAGGAACCGCTCTGCATCCCTCTAACTATCCAGCGACCTTGCCCTCCCACGCCGTCACCGTGCCTCGGTCGTGGGCAGGGATGCATCTTGCATGCCTCCGGGAGGCCTCGCGGGGGGGTTTCTGGGAGCCTCCCGGGCCCCCAAGACGGCCCAAGACGGCCCAAGACGGCCCAAGACGGCCCAAGAGGCCCACAAGAGAGGCCCAGGACGGCCCCGTTGCGGCTGCTGTCCAACGTTTCGGAGTTTTTTTTGTTTCTGATCGTTTCTGAGAAGCCTCGGGGTCGTTGGAGTCGGTTTGAGCGGGGTTGGCTTCGCGGAGGCCCGTGGGGCAAGCGCGGGAAGCGCCTGGGAGCCACCAGGAGCTAGAAGGAATTCAGGCGTGGTAGTCGGGGCCTTCACGAATCCTTTCGCCTTCGGGATTTTTGAAGTTTACGCATGTTTACATTTCTAGGCAGTATTATGCAAAAGCGAGCCGCCCACCATCCGTGCAAACGCTGTGCAGTTGTGCACATCTTGGCAAAGTCAAGTGAAAGCCCCAACTTGAAAACGAAGCACGCGGCGCTACGGCGAGAGCCACATGTTGAGCACATCCCATCACTCCTCCATTCTTGTAATTTCTATGTTGTGGAACAGTTAAGACGAATGTGCGTGGCATTGAGAGGCGAGCTAGATTTTGAAAGCCATCGCGCTTCAGCATTGTAGCTGCGGGGAGCTTCTGAGGCGAATGTGCGTGGCTCTACGGCGAGACCGACTCTCTCGAAACGACTCGCCAACTCCGTCCTCGCGAACCTGTGCTGCAGTGCTCACGCGGCGGACGTGCGCGGCGCCGCGGCGAGAGCGACAGCCTTGAGCTCGGCCCCTCGCTCTTGGCATCGCTCGGACGTGTGCGTCTCTCCTTCGGCGCGGACCATCGAGGAGCATCCTTGATCACTTGGCGAAAGAACCACGCACGACACCGAGCAAAACTCAGGAAATGGACGTCCAAGCGATGGCCCCTCGTTCGGCATGGCATGGCTGGGGACATGTCCGAGGGCGAGGGCGGCTCGGCGCTGCGGCGGGAGCGCCCCGCTCCGAGAACGGCACCGCCGCCCCCTCTCCGACGGGGCAGCCGCTGGCGGCCTCGAGACACGCGCGCGTGCCGCTAGAGAGAGGAAAGGTCACCACCCACCAAACCACAAGGGCTCCCTCGAGGGCGCGAAGTTATTCGCGCTTCGCGCTTCGCGGTCCTCGTTCCTTCTCCCCCTCCTCCTCGTCCTCCTATTCTCCCTTTGGGAGGGCGGCGCGAGAGCGCGAAGTTATTCGCGCTTCGCGCTTCGCGGAGCGCGAAGCGCGAAGCTGGGAGCCCTTGAAACCACCCCAGCCCAACTCGAAGGCTCAAATTTACCGTCGATTTCCAGTGGGGGGGGTCGGGGAACATCGAAAAAACACGCGTGGAACCCTTACCCCCCCCCCCCAACCCGAAATTCGGGTCTTCGGGTTGGGTTGGGGTGGTCTGGTAGGTAGTCAAAAGGAGAGAGAGCCATCTTTTGAACTTGGCATCGCTCGGACGTGTGCGTTTGTTCCTCGGCGAGGGCCCTCGAGGAGCATCCTGGATCATTTGGCGAAAAAACCACGCACGAAACCGAAAAAAACAGGCAATGGACGTCCGAGCGATGGCCAGTGAATGCCGCCGTCCTCTGTGCGGTTCGCGTGCGGGCGCCGTGGAGACGAGGGTGCGCGGTGCGGCGGCGCGAGAGCGAGACTCCGACGGTGCGTCGCCCGCCGTCCTGCACCGCGGGTGGCACGTTGTAGAGCCTAGGCACGCGGCGCTGCGGGGAGCGCGACGCTTTGACCCGCTTTGCCCGTCACCCTTGTGCATTTCGGCTGTTGCGTGTTGCGACGAATGCGCGCGGCGTCACAGCGAGAGCGGAATGATCGGAAACGCTCCCTCATACATTTTGTTATCGGCGGGAAGCCTGTAGGACGAATTTTCGCGGTGATGCGGCCAGCGCCACAATTTGAAACCACCCACCCCGAATGATGCTTCCAATCGGAAATGTCAAGCTTCAGGATCATATTCGGTGAGGAAGCCATCGGCGAAACGCCCAGCCCGCCCTACCGACACGTCTGGTTGCGTGGCGAGAAGAGGTTATGTTGGTCTCATCCGTAATTGGTTTGCTTTCGCGGGGTAAGCTTCCTGGCCTGGACTGGACTGCTCGCACCACTTAGTAGGCCGTTGCATTTTCGGGCTCTGAGTGTGCAGCCTGTGACAGATGCAAGTAATGGAACTCCGTTTTGTTATTGGCCGCCGAGTGCGCAACCTATGGCGCAACCAACAGCAGGCCATCTTGTTCGCGACCAAATCGCAGTCCGCTTTGTTATCGGTCGCCGACTGCTCACTCTACAGCTCGAAACGAACTTTTTGGAACTGGATTCCGCGCTCGCGTCGGGCCCGCATTCATTGCGGCGTCTTCTGCAGGGTTCCATTGGTACTTTTTGCCTTCGCGCTCCCAAGTCCTACATGGTTGCGTGCTTGTCTGCTGCGAGCTCGCGCTATGATATGCTTGCGCGTTCCTTTTATGAAGCGCATGCGTCAGGGTGGTCCGTTCCGTTAAGGAGCACGGTTCGCGGTCGAAGGGCGCGGCTTATGTGCCGCAGGCGTGCCGTGCCGTGCCGCTCTCGGTCTTCGGAGCGCAGGCGAGACGCTGGTTCTTTGACCGTAGTTTGCGATATGATGGTGTCCCGGTGGTGAAACAGCGCCGCAACGACGAGATTGCTGTCGCAGGTTGCCGAGGGGTCAGCGGTGCGTCGGGGGCCCCGCGAGGCGCGCGGATGCGTCCGGCGCCAACGGTTTCGCTGCAAGGTGACACCGCGCGAGGCGTGCGGGAGTGTTCGGCGTGGACGGCTTCGCTGCTCTTTGAGACGCTCGCGGGGCGCGCGGATGCGCTCGGCGCCGAGGATTTCGCGCACTGTAGGATCATGTGCGACGAGCGGATGTGCTCGGCGCCAGAGTGCTCGTGGCACCTCAGGAGACTGCGTGCGACTCGCGCATTTGCTCGGCGCCTAGGTATTCCTGGCAGTGTGAGGTGCTGGGGGATGCGCGGATGTGCTCGGCACCAAGGGCTTCGTGCCACCTGGAGACCGCGTGAGACTCGCGGATGCGCTGGGCGCCGAGGGCGCCGTGGCATTTTGAAACCGCGTGCGCCTCGCGGGTGTGCTCGGCGCCGAGGGCCTCGTGGCACCTTGATTCCCGTCGAACCCGCTTGAAGCCGCTCGAGACCGCCGTCGGCACGCACCTGGTGTGCAGATGTATACCGTGTGTGCACATGTGGAGACCCCTCCGGCACTCACCTCTTATAGAGCTGACGCAGGGGTCCGAGTGTCTCAAGGTGCTTCGAGCACGGGGGGGCCGCCACCCGGGCGCACCGAGCGCCGCAGAAGTCCAACAGCTGCTTCGGCCCACGTCGGCTCGGCCGGCGCGCCACGCCCGATGCCGTTGCGCGGAGCTGCCTCGGATGTGTTTTGCACGCAGATGCCGCTCTATCAGCGTGCACATTTGCATTTGCAATGCTTTACTTCGCAGGCTGTGTGGCGCAACCAATGGGTAGGCCGTATGATGCTCGCAAGCCGAGTGCGCAATTTTTTTTGCCTGGTCGATTGCAGGCCGCTCTATCATCGACCGCCGAGTTTGCAGCTTGTGCCGCAGCGCAAGCAATGGCAGGCAATTCTTTTTGCGGCCACCGAGTTTGCAACCTATGGCGCGCCGTCGATTGCGCCGCCGGGTGCGACACCGATGGCGCAACCACCAGCGAGGTAGTTTGATTTATGGCCTCCGAGTGCGCAACTCGCGGCGCGCCCGTCGCCCAGCCTTGGGCCGCCTTCGGGCGATGACAGCTCGCTTCGGTTCGCTTCGGTTCGCTGCGCTTCCTATGGAATAATCAATGGCTGGTCGGTTTAACACCAGCCGCTTGTGACGCAACCAGCTGCCAGGCCGTTCATTCTCGGCCGCCGCGCCAATCAATAATCAATGCAGGCCGCTTGAGTATCGGCCGCTCAGTGCGCAACTTACGGCGCACTAAATGGCCAGGCCGCTCTATCGGCGCAACATGTCGCCGACTGCAGCACTCATGGCGCAACCACTTGCAGGCCGTCTCATAATTAGCTGCCGGGTGCGCGAAGCATGACACAACCATTGGCAGGCAGTTTTCGCAATGGCCGCCGAGTGTGCAAGTCATGGCGAAACGTATTGCGCAACCTGCCGGCGGCATGAACTTCCAGCGCAACCAATGGCGCAACCCATTGCGTAACCTTTGGCGGGCAGAACCCGTTGCGCAACCCGTGTATCGTGCAATCCAAGGATCGTGCAACTTACGGCGCAACCCACGGATGACCCACGGATGACGCAACCCATGGCGCAAGCCACGGACGGCGAAACCCATGGCGCAACGGCGCAACCCATGAATTGCGCAGCTCATGTCGCAACATAAGGCGCAACCTTTGATGCAAGCCATGAGTGACACAACGCACGGATGGAGCATGGCGCAACCCATGGATGACGCAACCTACAGCGCAACCCATGGGTCGCGCAGCCCGTTTTGCGCCACACGTGTGGCAGCCACCCCTGGAAGTTTCTGAGGGGGCCCATTCGGAGCAGGGCGGGCCCGAGACTCCCAAAAGGGCGTGCCCCAAAATCGTTGGTGCCCCTATCAAGTGGCGCGGAGAGGTTGTCCGGCGTGCGCCGCACATCCTTGCGCTTCGGACTCCACGTGCAGCTGTGAGCCATCACTTGGAGAGCAGCAGCGGTAGACGTGGCCTCCAGGGCCTCCGCCTCGACGACCCTGGAGACCCGCGATGCTGTGTCCGCCGGCGTGGGTCGTTGGCCCGAGGGGCCTCCGTCGTGGGTTCGAGGATTCCTGCCGTTGGGCCCGGGGCCGTGCGGGCACCGTGCGGGCGCCTTGTTGGGCAGGCAGCAGGGGCCCATTCCGGGCACGTGTCCGCGCATCCGAGCGTGGGACTGCAAGAGTCCCGTGTCGATGCAGCGTTGTAGGCGCGTCGTGAGGGCACCGTGTCGCCACGGCTTCGCGTCGCAAAGATGGAGCCCAATGGGCCCAGAGAGGGGGGCCTCGAGGGTATCAGGCGATCAAGAAAAGAGGGCCAGGCAGGCATCGGGCAAGCGAGGGGAAAGGGCCATGAGGGTCTCTGGCGAAGGAGGAGGGCAACCGCGAAGCACACCGCATGCGAACAGACACCGTGACTTTTGGGGCAGCGTTCGGAGCACACTTGGGGCAACTCGCGGGACACCGTGACTGTCTTGGACCAGCCCTTGAGGTGCGGCTGCGCCCTGTGCGCGCTCGCTAGCAGGGCTGGGGGACCCAACAGCGGCGATCCGCCTTGCGATCTCTACTGGGCAGGAGGAGGAGACTTTTGGAAGTCGATCAATGGAGAGGGAGCGTGTTTCCACATCATCTCCAGATGTCCAAGCATGGTTGGAGCATGCCTTAAACCAGAAAACATGGTGCACACATTTCTAGAACAATTGTCAAACATCTCAAACACATGTTTAATTCAATGGTAGGACTGTTAGTGTGTCCATTGTCATGGCATCCACAAGCAGAGACGGGAGGAGGAGCAAAGGAGGCGGAG